TCCGGGAGTGTGTTCTAGACTTTGGTGGGAGTTGGGATACGTATCTTCCGTTAGCGGAATTTTCGTATAACAACAATTATCACACCAACATTGATCGACCTTCTTTTGAGATGCTCTATGGGAGGAAATGTCGGACCCCGATTTTTTGGAGCGAGGTCGGTCAGTGGGTTAGAGGTGGTATTCAAGACCACTGAGCTGATTCAGCAGGTTCGGAGTAGGCTCAAGACAACTCATAGTTAGCATGAGAGTTATGTCGACAGGCACCGATTAGATTTAGAGTTCTAGGTGGGGGATATGGTTCTCCTGAAGGTGTCACCTTGGAAAGGTGTCATCCGGTTCAGGAAGAGGGGCAAGTTGGGCCCTATGTATATTGGTCGTCTCAGGGTTTTGGCTTCGGTGGGCCGGGTTGCATATCGCTTGGATCTTCCAGACGAGCTCAGTCAGATTCATAGCACGTTCCATGTCTCTTAGCTGCGGAAGTGCTTATTGGATGATTCCGCAGTGGTATCGTTAGAGGATATTCAGGTGGATGACCGCCTAAACGATATTTAGAAACTGATGACGATTCTTGATCGGAATACGAAAATCTTGAGGAACAAGGTTGTTGAGTTGGTGAAGGTGCAATGGCAGCACTGCAAGGGTTCTGAATGGACTTGGGAGCCGGAGGATGAGATGAAGGAGCACTACCCAGAATTATTTGGAGCAACAAACTTCAAGGACGAAGTCTGATTCAAGTGGGGTAGAATTATAACACTTGAAATGGGTATGTTTCCTTTTAGCCCTTCATAATTAAAACAATGCATTTTTGGTCCTTGTGGCTAGTACGCGGGGCATACCATAGTGTACGCTTAGCGTACTAGCTAGGGTGTAATCACGGGTTCGAGCCTCGTACATTGGGCGTACGAGGGTTACGCTGGGCGTAATCTAGCCAGCTTGAAACCCTAATTTTTAGGGTTTAACCCCTATATAAGCTCATTAAGTCCCATGATCTTTGCCTCTTACTAGCCTCCATATTCCCTAAACCCTAAATTTCAATCCTTACCCATCATTTTGTGTCTTTGAGCTTTGAGAAGAAAACTTGGTGTTTTATTACTCATTTTTAAGGGATAGAAGAAGATTGAAGGTTCATTGCTTGGTGTGAAGCTTAGACATCCAAAATCATCATTCCTTTTTGCAAGTCGTTTGAGGTATAAAGACCTTATCTTGACAACTCCTTGTACGGATCTTCTTTTGGACTTATTTCTGGCCATTTTAGTCCCTTTTGGTTGGTCCTTGTGAGCTAGTGTCGTTTCAGAAGCCTAACCTTGTAGATCTGGGCATTTTGGGGTCCCTTTGTCCATAAAAATGCAAGCTTCGAGGTGTTTATGAACTCATGCATGTGTTAAGAACCTTTGTTAAGTTATTTTGAGCTTTAGAGCCCCATTAAGCCATGTATGCACGTAAAGTTGCCAACTTTACGTGACGAGTCACCTTAAAGAAGTCAAATCTAAGTTGGGATTGACGTCTTTATCGATTAAGAGCTAAAAAGTGAAGGTTGGACAAAAGGGTGGAGTACGTTGGGCGTATAAGCAAGTACACTGCACGTACAAGCCCTTAAGCGAGTACGCTGAGCGTACGAGCTGAGTACGCCCTGCGTACTCATCAATGGGCTTAGATTTCGTGGGCTCTTCGGTTTTGGGCCATAGTGGACTTTAGTCGACTTGGGCCTTACTGGGCCATCAGAATTCAATTAATATGTCGTTAATATTTTATTAGACTCTTGGTTGTAGGCCCGTGAAAGGGATTTGGGCCCAATTTGGAAAATTGGGCCATAGTGAGCTTTGAGTAATTATTATGGAATTTGGGCTTTTGGACATTTGGTTTGGGCTTTGGCCTTGGGGCCAATTAGGGAAAGGGTAAAAAGGTCTTTTACCCTAGTTTGGACTCTTAGTGTGGGTCGGGATCCGATTATTGATTGGATGATAATTTTCTAATTGATAGCACGGGGATTTTAGCGGGCCAGCAGCCAGAGATTTATCTGTGAGATTCAGCAGTGTGAGGTGAGTTTCCTCATCATGTTTACTTGGTGTAAGGCATCAATGCCGACCCATGATCAGTGATGCTAGGATACTAGATCTCTGTGTGACTCTTGTATGTGTATGTGCTTATATGATTTGTATGTTGGTCGGGGCCCGTTATGCGACTTTGGGCGTGGCCCGTTATACTCAGTAGGCAGGGCCCGATATGCGAGGTTGGGCGGGGCCCGTTATGTGTTTATTTATGTATGGTATGTTGTATTTATTGAAATTAAAAAAAAAAATTGTTTTACCTGTGATGACTGTGGTGGTCGCTGCGCTGGCTGTGTAATCGGCGGGATAGCCGAAGGTTTTCGGCCTATGCCTCTGATATGGCCACACCGTTCACCTATTACTCTCTCGAAAGTAGCTCTTTCTTCAGTAGTGTTAACTCTCCTTCACCATCTGGCCCTTGTGTTTGTTCTAAGAGCTCTTCCACTAACCGATTCTGTTTTTTTCTATAAGTGATTAACAATTAAGTATAAATAAACACTTAATTATATGATAAAAATTATAATTAAATACTTACGTATTATTGCTCCGCCTCGACATTAACATATACACCATTCTTATCCGTATGAGCCTTGTGGAACCCTTCCACTCTCTTCAGCTTTTGTTTAACATTAAAAATTAGATTATATTTTAAATAAATTATTACATATATCGTACATTACCTTTTTATAGCAAGTACTGCTATACGAGCTCGACCCCCCACGGTTCACGGTCGTTTGCAGCTCACAGGCTTTTTTGTTTCTTTCCGAAGCAGCTACGTGTTCATCCGTTTGGAAATACTCAATTGATTCCTGCAATTATCAACCCACATATCATGTAGGGGTGGCTAATGCTCTCGGTATATCCCATACCCTTCGACTTTCTAAAAATATTCTTTTGTATCAGCTTTACGCTCTCGATAACTTTTTAACAAAGCCGCTTCAACACTCTCTAACATAATAGCAACTTCTGGATCCCGGGACATCCGATCCAAATGAATATTTGTCTACAAAAACAAAAACAAAAAAAACAAGTTAGCAAAGTAAAAACCAATCATAATTAACCATATAAAATAATCTTCTATAAATAATTTACCCCAAAATGTTGTTTTACTGTATCCTTTATCGCGGGGGAAACTTTTTTCCAAGTTCTTTTATCAAAAGGGACCATCCCCCACATTATTTTCCCACTTTCTCGTACAAACATATCCTTCGGCTCTCCTACGGGATCATATGTCATGTCTCTATCATATTTCATGTTAGTCGGTTTGCCCTTATTGTTTAAGATCGCTCTTTCGAGCTTAATGTTTTTTTGTATTTCCTCTAACTCTCCTGTGTGGCACAACTACAAATATAATTAAAAATTATTAGAAACTGTATTTTATTAAAACTGAATAAAAATAGTAAATAAAAATGCATAATAAGACTTATCATCCTGCTCATACTGACCAACACCTCTACCACCTGGGATAGGTGGTTCCTCGATTCCATCTCCCCCATGTCCATGACCCATAAACAGCAACCATGGTGTGCAAAAACAAGAGCGGTATCGACGCCATTACCTGAAAAATTATAAGATATACATTACGTAAGAATAATAGCATCCTACTTTATTTGTTTTTTTACAACGCACATTGTTTTTTTATATAAAAAATACATACAATCCACATTACATACAAATTGCATACAAATTCAAATATACATACATAATGTCATGTTTTCATTCATACAAATACACATTATACACACATACAATCCACATTAAATACAAATACACATATACTTTAAATATCATTATCAATAATAACATCCTATTTTATTCGTTCTTTTTTCATTATAGCATTGCACTATACACATTACATACAATCCACATTTTGATACATACAATACACATTTTTACATACATATACATATAGATACACATATACATACAATTACACATATACATACAATCCACATTTCTTACATACATACCAATACACATTTTATACATATATACAAATACACATTTCATACATATCCAATCTACATTTCATACATAAAAATACCAAATATGCACAAATATGGGTAATTTCATATAATAGGAACAAATATACATTTTTTTTGCAAATAATCTAGAAATTAAAGGAGAAAGCTACCTATGGTGGCCGGAAATCAACAATGGTGACCGGAAATCAAGCTTTAGTTGTCCGTGAATGTCAAAACTCCAAAAAACTGAATATCAACATTTTTCAGAAATTAATCTCGAATATAAGCTGGAAATTGAAGTTATAAGAGAAAGAAATAGAGAAATAATGAATGGGATGCTCACCGTCGTCGGTGAAGCTTTAAAATCGCCATTAAAACCGACCCGCCGCCGTAATTAGGTGGCAAACACTGGTTGTGGTGGTTGGCCGGTGGTTGAAGGTGGAGGAAGGAGAACGGTGTAGTAGGGAATGATCGCCGAACCTTGATGCTCGACAAAGAAGAAGCGAATCAGAAGGGACGATAGGAGGCAAGCACGAACGAAAGAAAGGGAGACCCGATGGGGTCTTATTTCGTCGACCTTTACCGGCGACACTCAATAGCAGCGACAACGAAGGAGGAAACTTATCCCGCTTCTTTTCTTCACGACCTTTAGCGGCGACACTTTTACCCTTTAGCGGCGACAAAATGTCGCCGGTATTAAGTTTGTGTAAGAAGGGCCCATACCATTGGATTAGAATGTTGATATGACGGTTGGGATTTACGGGTAACTGTGGATTCGGTTCATAGAGCATTACCGGCGACTCAAGCTTGAGACGCCGGTAAAGACCATATTTCTTGTGGTGGAAATATATTTTAGAAAATATTTAAACTTTAAAGTATACTTTTTGAATCCTAAGTCACCCTTATTCCGCATTTTTTTTAATTGTATTGAGATTTCAAAGATCCTCGAAATTCATCAAATTATGTTCTATCATTATTTTATTTCAACAACTCGGTAAGGGTAAGGAGAACTGCATGTTTGACGTTCCATAACATACGATTTTACAACAACAATTTATTTCAAGTACACATAACGTAATTATGAACAAACTATATTATACTTCACTCCATTTTCATATGTGTCTAGCATTGATGGCAGTAGACTATCTACCCTCCGGTAAAGGTAAGGTTGTCAACATCTAACTTCCCGTTATCCAATTTGTGTTATGGGTTTACTGTATTGTTGTTGTTGACACTGGGAATAGCATTGTCGAGTTCTCCACCTGCAAGAAAGAATTGCAACATTGATCAATCCACAACCCCAAAGATGTGACCCAAAGAAGAAAATAAGCAGCCGTCATATGTGTTTGTGTGTATAGAATTATACCATCAGGATGAAGAAATGTGCCAGTATAGTACGAAGAGTCCTTGGACGCGAGAAACACATATGATGGAGCAATCTCTACAGGTTGAGCTGCCCTGTTCATGGGCACCTGTGACCCAAACGTTGCAATATCATCGTCATTGAGTGATGCAGCTTCAAGTGGGGTCCAAATAGGGCCTGGGGCCACACCATTAACACGAATCCCTTTGTCAACCAGGAATATTGCTAGACTCTTGGTGAAGTTCACAATGGCTCCCTTTGTTGACGCGTAATCAATGAGTTTTGGACTTCCCGAGAATCATAACACTGAAGCGGTGTTTATGATGCTGCTTCCTGGTTTCATGTGCTTCACAGCATGCCTATACATCCACATCATCACAACCCATCAAAACTAGATGTGGAAAATAAGCGTCCTCGGTGGATTATCACAATGCTTCGTAAATAATACTTTATTTAAGTTACACACATTCATTAAGCTTTTTTGAAAACGACTCTTCTTTCATCTACATAGTGAAAAAGCACAAGTCTTTTTTTTTGAGCACTTAAAAGAGTTCCAATAACACTACAAAAAAGGTATAAATTGTTTGAACTAAGGAGAGCTCCATGATGCTTGTATGGGATTGATTTGCCATTTGTTGGTGATTTGTTTCACTAATTGTGTTTAAGTGTAATGGGTTGACTTGTTGATCAAAATCAATCTTGATGAATATTAAACAAGTAAGAAATGTGTGGAGTGGACACTTGTTTAAGTTTATTCAAGCTAAAAGTAAACTGTCATTTAGGGGCGAAGCCCCTAAACGAAGTGGGGTTCAGGGGCAGCGCCCCTAGGAACGGGGTCGAAGGGGCAGAGCCCCTGGCTGGGTTATATTGTTGTATTAAAAATGCATCAGAAATCCAAATTTAGAATATTTGACCCGTTTTTTTGGCTTGGTATTAATCCTTATAAAAAACCTGGATTTATGACGGTTTTTGACTGTTGTCAAACTGTTTTATGACAGTTGTGACATTTTTCAGACAAATGAGGTATTTAACCAATTTTGGTCATATTTTTGGTACTTACGAAAATTCATACATCCCATTCTCTGTTCTGAATCTCTTATGAGTCTTATCCAATCAAATATTAGGAAGTACTACTTTCTCTTGATTTTTCTCTTATCACCTGCGTGAGAGAAGGATTCCAGTAGGGTATCCATGCATGGTTAACAGGACCGAAATCATATTTCTGAAGGTTAACCGCGACTAACGGTTTACTAATTTCTTAAACCTAAACCTAAACCAAAAATACAGGTTACCCGATTTTTTCGGTTTGGTTTTTTGGTTAAACAATTAACCGTTTACTAATTTTAAAATCTATTTCAAAATTAATTAACTTTAAAACTAATTTTCAAAATAATTGTAAATCTTTCGATCTTTTGTAAATATAAAATTTAAAGGTACTGTATATAAAATAAATATAATATTCATTTATTTACGTTAAATTGTAAGGAACTCATGGAAATTATATTTATCCTATTATGTATTCACCTCAATTGTGTTTTGACTACAATTGCTAATAAATATGACACTTGTTAACTGAAACTTTAAGTTATAATAATGAATTTAATATTAGCACTAAACTTCAAACCTAAACAGTATCTTAAAATATAAAAATTAAAATTTGATTTTTTTGGTTAACCGTCCGTGCACCAAAAAACCGATACTTTTACAGGTTCGATTAACCAAACCAAAAGAGGTAAAAATAGCAGGTTCAGTTAACTTGAAAATTGGTATGGTTTGTCGGGTTTTAAGTTCTGTTTTTCATTTTCGGACATTCTTGAACACCCCTAGTTTCCAACAAAGCCTTCAAATTATCTTTCAAATTGAATCAAGATTCCACATTAATTAAATTAAAATTTACTATAATTTCCAACAATCACCTACGTGATTGGAATGCTTTCCTAATACAACCATTCCAAGCTATCATGAAGATTGATTATTATCTTACCACCGAAGGTTCAAATAACAGTTCCTTGCCAGAAAAAACACAACCCTTTTTTTAGCACTTAAAAGAGTTCCAATTACTGCAAAAAATGTATAAAGTGATTTAAATAGCTAGGGAGATGTCCATGATGCTTGTATGGGGTTGATTTACCTTGGATACACATAGGGATCGAGATGGCTATGATACTTGTCTGGCCGTGGGGTGATTTGCGCGCACTCCCCTTAGTCCCACACCATTACATAGACACATTTAATTTAACTTAAAAAGTTTTTTATTATCTTCAACCTATGTGAGACATGGTTTGAACCAAAATTTATGAAGTATCATCAAATTAAATTGAGATTCCACAGAAAATTACAATTTATTTAAGCTTTAATAATTACCCATATTTGAATACAAAGAATTGCATATACCATGCACATATAGAGAGAAGAGGCTCGATCAAAAATTAGTGAAACCAATGATGACTACATGTAGAAGTCTCGATTTCACCAAATGTCTTATTATAGGATTACCCTGAACAAATCTTTTGGATAAAATAAAGCCATCAACACAAAACAGCACAATTGAGTTGCAAAATATATACTGATAGGAAGAAACATATAGCACAAATGTTACTCTGTGAATTGCAATGTATTCCATGTTAGTTTTAACACGGACTTTTATATATATATATATATATATATATATATATATATATATATATATATATATATATATATCCATTCATGCTCTATTTTAATAAATTTTAGTATAAATCAATAGCTACCTTTTACGTATCTTTAATTAAGACTCTCGAAACTCTCCTTTTTGGGGCAAAGTAATTATTGAAGTTCTCAAGAAAAAATATAACTGGTGAAAAAAAATAATAATAACTTGAACATTAAGAGGCACACCTTGTCATGAAGAAATGGGAGAATATATTAGTTCTAAATATCCTTTCAAGCCTCTCTTCCGTGATATCATCTAATGTATATGTTTCATACTGCACAGCTGCGTTGTTCACCAGGACATCAATTCGTCCATATGTCCCAACCACCTTATCAACAACATCCTTACAATTCTTGTCATACCTTACATCAGTAGGAATTGCAATTGGATCACCTGCATCACTCATTTTTGAATCATTTATGATCTCTAAAGTATACTTCGCATCTATGTCTTCGGCACCTTTCACATAAGTGAATGCTATAGTTGCACCCTCCTTAGCAAAAGAGTAGCAAACAGCCCTCCCAATACCCGAATCCCCTCCTATCACCAAAGCCACCTTTCCCTGCACCAAGAAAACAAAAAAGAAATTACGTTAGATGGTTTTTTCATATTAGGAAACAAGCAGCAGACAGGATTTCGCTTCTTCTTTTTTTTTGCTGCTTCGGCAAAAGGTTCGATATTTACACTGTTTATCTTTAAAAACCTTTTTGCATTGAAATCAAATGACAATATATGATAACTACAAATGAGAAGCTTCATACAGAGATGATCTTTGATTTTTTCTAATTTAGCTGAAGTCTATCCGGTGACCAAATGACAAGAATAATAAAATACAAGAAAACAAATTGTACTTCAAGTTTGTTAGAGGGCTTGTAATTAGGATCGCTGAATATTGGAAGAGGATCCATGAGGTACTCTTTTCCGGGTTGGACCATCCTGATGCTGTGGTGGGAATCTTCGTTCGCATTCTTCCCTCTGCATGGCTTTCGCCTAAAAATAGATACGAAACTCCAGTTAGGTTAACTGAATGCTTGTGAGTTTTATCATCTACGGCTACTCGGATTTGAAAGGATTTGAAACAAAAAAAAAATGATGATTTTACACCACAAGGACCAATTAATATTCCAATAATATATTCCAATCAAAATTAGCATTTTGAATAAAAGAGAAAGAAGCTGACCTTAGAGGTGTGAATAGAAGATGAACCACGTCTTAAAACACATGTTGCCATCGCTGCAACACCATTATTGCTAATTCTTGTAGAAGGATGTGAAGTCAACAACCTCCGTGAGTGTAGACATGAGTTCTGTGTGATCGGCATCCTGCCGGAGACTGAACCCACCAAAGAAATCATCACTGAGCACAAAATTACTTACGATGGATGAATGAATGAATTACCTCGTTATGAAATATTACATATATAGGGAAATTTTTTCTCAAAGACAAATATTTCATTAATCTGAAAAATAAGTCCGACTGACCACATTAATGACTATTTGGTCTCTGCCTAACCTTGCTTATTGTATCATCATCTGACAGTTTATCAACCTAAAATAAGCATAAGACGACACCAAATGCCTTATAGGGAAAGTGACAAAAAAGACTTCAATTTAAAAAATCATTTCTATCGATTGTTAATAGACATTAATATAGCAACCTCAAAGCTAAAATTTTCATATCCACATTTATTTCTTCTTTGTATTGTCAACGGAGGCTGGTGACTGCACATCTTTTAATAAGAAATTTTCGTCCAAAGCATTTCAAAATTTGTGCTAATTTCCTACATTTCTAAGCCACTAAAGCATTTCTTCTTAATTTGTATGGTCATATCCAATCTCACTCTATTTTTATAAATATGTTTAGTGTAAATGAATAGTATATTACCAAACATGTTGTAACATTTTAATGTGTCACTTTAGTGACTCGTGTTTCATGTTTATTCTATTATAATTTATAATAAATGAATAAAGTTATATCCTATATATAATAAATACGATAGTAATATACTATATATTAAATTGACACTATTTAATAGTAAATATACAAAAGTATGTTTTAAACTGGTTTTATTTACTATAAAACAATATTTAATTCAAATTAATAATATACAAATAAATAATTTTGTTATAATTTTTTAATAAAAAAAATTATACATTTAAAGACAAATTATATATATATATATATATATATATATATATATATATATATATATATATATATATATATAATTTGTCTTTAAATGTATATATATAATAAGGAAATAGTTGACTAGTTAAACGGTGTTCTTGACAATCAATATAAGTTTAAAAAATGGTGATTTAGGAAATATATATACTTTTTAGTATAAAAAATGGTGTAGTGTTGGAGAAAATATAAGTGAATGTGGTTGCAAATGTATATTAAGGCCACATGCCCGACCTAATGCACTACAAAAATTACTACCTTTAGTGGCGACATCTGTCACTGCTATAGGTAACGATTGTCACCGCTAATGCCATTAGTGGCGACATGTCGTCGCTTTTGGTTTGTGGCTAATGTTTACTGTATTTCCATATGTCGCCAATAATTCCTTCCATCACCGCACTAATGCATGTTGTCGCCACTAATAGTTGTGTTTTTTTTTTAAACTGCACATTCCAAACGCATAAAAAATGCTATGAAAAATAAAAACTACTACAAAATATTAATTGCAAAAAAAAATATAGATCCTAACATTAAGAGTTTTATAATACGGCATCTCAAAATCTTAATACAAACATTAAGTGCAAAATACGTTATAATTCTAACAAAACATTATATAACTCCTAAAAATAGCAGACAACAAAGACTAATCAGGGTAATACAACATTGAAGAGAGTGGTAGAGTCTATTGTTAATGGTGATTCTCATGTACCTTTGAGATAGCAAGTTAACCATGATTTTGTATAGGTAAATGTTAACATTTTACATATCTTAAGCTATTAGCTATGTATATATTATATGTATTGAATATGAACTTACTCACATGTTCATTTTAATGTTGTGTTTTGTTTTTCTATAATAAATTTTAGGCAATATCAGCAATTCATTACATATATTTACTATTGGAATAATCATTTGTATTTGACATATTATATTTTGTGCAATGAATTATTTTTTTGTAAATTGTATTATATTTTGTATATATAGTGAAAATACTTAAAATTAGTGTTGTAAAAATCCCGATTAGGTCCCGATTAAGCCTTAGGTGCTACCCAACCGACTAAAAGGCGCCTAGCGATTAATCTCTGACTACACAATGAGCGAAGCAGTAACAAACGATGAAATTGTAACACTTTGAAAAAAAATTATATCAATATAAACTATTTGAGACATGAGTTGTGTTCTATTAATCATATTAACCTATTTTGTTATGATATTAGTGGTATTTACGAACTTTGTTATGATATTAGTCATATTTAATTTATTAAAATTCGACGAATTAGCAATTTAAGGTGTCTAATTAATCCTCTCCTAGCCAATTAATCCATTAACCCAAGTCTACCGATTAGCTAACGTCGAACGTTTTTACAACCTTGCTTAAAATTATGACACGCAAAAATATATGTTGACTTTTTCTTTATAACAGGGGCTTTAATGATACGTTTTGCGTGTCGTAAATGTGAGTCGTAAGGTTACCACATTCAAATGCATGCCGTCTTCCTTTATGACAGGGGATTCAATGACATGCATTTGTGTGTCATCTGTATGCTTTTATGACATGCAATGCGTGTCATTAAAGGCTAGTTTTATTGTAGTGCAGACTGTGTGGTTTACCTTTTTTTTTGTTATCCAGTAAGAGCATGAATACTAGTCACCGATATTTTTTTATAGAATTTCAATTTTTTCTATACTTGTACTTGAGTTGATTGAACACTACAAGAAAAAAAAGGAATTAGCGGCGACAAAAGTCACCGGTAAAGGCTAGCAAACTTGCCGGTAAAGGCTTTAACGGTGACAAGTCGCCGGTAAAAAGTCGTTCGTACTGCTCTGTCACTATTGCTCAAAATATTGTTGGTAAAGATATTTGTTGCTGCTAATGCTCTTGTCGCCGGTAATACCTTGTTTCGCCGCTAATGGTCTTCTTGCCGGTAATTCCTTTCGTCGCCGATAATAGTGTCGTCGGTAATAATTGTAATGTCTGGATTCGCCAGGTAAAATCTCTTGAATTATACTTCTTCTACCCGTGGACTAGACCTGAGTACGATGGGCGTACACAAGGTACGCACGGTGTACTCCCATACATGCGCAGATTGGGGGTATCCCCTGCGTATGATGGGGCATACCCATGAGTACGCGGCGCGTACACGAGCCAGGGGCAAACCTAAATTTTTAGGGTTTGCACCCTATTTAAACACATTAAGCCCTTCATCCTCTTCACCTTATCATCCTCCTTTGCCTCTTGAGCCATATCTCAAAACCCTAATCCATTTTCCCTAAAGTTTGAGCTTGTGTGGGTGTTTTGTGTGTGTGAGTGTGTTGCTTAGAGAAAAAGAAAGAGATTTATGAAGAAGCATTGGACCAACAAGAGCTTGTAGATCTAGAGGTTTCTCAGCATTTCTATCTTATTGGAGGTAAAAAGCTCCTACCTTAATGATTCCATGTGTTAGTTTTAGTTTAGGGCTTATATTCTTCATATTATGGTCATTAAGGTGGTTTTTGAGAGTATAAGGTACTCCAGAAGAAAATAATGTTAGATCCTAGTGTCTCTGATGTCCCTTGAGCATAAAAATGGAATCATGATGGATTAAGTTCAACCATGCAAGGGTTAAAGTTGGGTTCATGAAGCTATTTTAACATTTGACGATTCAAGACATGCAAAAGCATGAAGTTATCAACTTTATAGATTAAGACACTCTAATGAGCTTGTATCTAAAACTGGACGATAGGTCTTAACTGATTAAGACCTTGAAAGTGGAATTTGGCTAGTTGCAGCGTACACTGCGCATATGCTCAAGAAGTCACGTGGATGTGAAGGAAGTGAGTACGCAAGGCGTACTCACCAGAAGGGGGCTTGTGCTTTATTTCGGGCCGTTTTGGGGCTTAAGGACATTGGGCCCTTGTTGGGCCATGAGTTTTTCTGTGATGGGCTTTTATACTTGGACCCATTTTTGACATGGCATGTCTTTTGGGCCTTGGGACTAATTGTATGTGGGCCTTGGTGGGTTAGGCCCAATAAGGCAAGGATTAAGTATCTTTTTCCCATAAAGATGGGATTTAGGGTTTGGACCCTCGTGGTGGGCTATTGTCCTAATTTCTAATTAGGGTTTATTTTACTTGTGATTTAGAGCATCTCCAATGGTAAACCTATATCATAGGTCAAAAATATTGTCACTTCACTTCTTTATTTTTATTGGCCTCTAATTAAATTGTTTCTCCAATGGTTCAACTTTTTTATGACTTTTTTTGTAGTTTAACTATATTTTATCCTTATCTATCTAAAATATTATATAAACCCCTCGTTTAACTAATCGTATTTTAAACACATCATATTTTAATATAAACATTCATTCACGTACAAACAATTTATATACTACTATATTTTATAATTATATATTATATATTTGTTTATCTATAAATTTTAGATAAATAATAACTAAATCAAAGTAAATCAAAGGTAGAAAATGAAATATATTTAAACAGAAAGTGGTTGATTGTTCAAACCTTTAAACTAGATTGACCACTCAATATATATTGAGTGATCAATAAAAATAAGCAAATAAGTCATGCACTCCAATGGTGTTTAATTATTTTGACCACTTAAACAAATAGTAATAAGCTATAAAAAAAAACCCCACCATTAGAGATGCTCTTAGAATGAGAGTATTTTGCAAGTCAACAGCCCGAGTGTGATTTAATACCTTCAGTCTGAGGTGAGTTTCCTTCAATATAATTGTGGGTCATGTTGGAAAGAGTGTCCAAGGTCATTAACTATTGGTAATATTTCTAATAATAACAGGGTCCTTTTGGGTTGCCCTCAAGACCCAAATTGAGTAGAATAAATAAAGGAGAAATCGGTTTATTAGTTATTATGGTTAATCATTAAATAGAAACTAATTGGAAACATTTTGGGAATTAATTAACAGTTTAATTAATCAAAGGGTTGAATATTCAACTAATCAATAATTGGTTGATCGTGAATGTTCCAGATTCCTTATGGAATTAGGTTTGGATGAAAATCACTCCATCCGACATGGGAAAAGGAGTGAATTTCGTGGTTAGGCTCCCATCCCACATGGGAAGGAGTACAAAACCTAGGAAGGGATCCAAGGCTATAAATAAGGCATTAGGGATTTCATTCTTCCTTGCACCTTGGCTTGAAGTTTCGCCAACCCT